TGTGTAATTTGAGTCTGGTCACGTAACTGTACAGACAAGGATAAATCATCGCACGAGTGTACAATTAACACTGGTTTTTTTTAGTTTTATATTTTATATTCCCAAAACATGTGGAACTAAACCTGATTTTAGGATGTCACCAGCCGAAACTCAAATAGAGAAAGAAAAGAAATAGAGTAAGCCGAGTCTGCAAAACTTTTCACACTAGTTTTTCTTATTTGCACTTAGCCTTCTGCGCCTTTGCTTGTAATAAACTAATCTTAACCCCGCTTAGCGTATAGACTTCTTTATCGATCACCTCAGTATGAATTGAGGGATTTAGGTACACACGTACACCATATGCAACATGAGGGTAGAGCAGAGAAATGGAAACGAGTGAAACTGTTTAAAGAAAATTGGCCAATGCTCCGCAAAAGAATATTCCTGAAAAACCACAAATCGAAAATGGACAATGGACACATTTGATGAGCGAAATACAAGTATTTAACATGTTTAAATTACTGAAAGTAGTATTACTTTGCTCCTCTGCAGCAAGGGCACCTTCTGGCGAGACCTCAACCTGCTGTTGACGAATTGTACTGATCCCTCGCCCCCCGAACAGAGGCCCTTAAAGGCCAGTCCACACAGTATGGGGTAGACCAGAATGTACGTACTGCTAGCTCCCGCCTGAAAAAAGTTGTAGTCACCTGGCTCTATCCGCCACCATCCCCCCGGCACTTGTTCGCAGGCTAGAAAATAAACCAATTCCCTGATAAGTTCTTTTTCATAACATCAAAATCCGTCGCGAAAATGAAAAAAATGCTTTAGAGAGCCTCAGCCATTTTACTTACTATCTTTTAACCAAATACGTTGCGGAGAAAAGAGATAAAAGGCTGAAAACAGCCTTTCATTTCGATTTAAAATTTCAGATGGAGAATGCCCTTTTCCTAGGTCTGCACCTGCAGTGACTTGTGTGCTAAAACTCCTTCGTGGTGGTATCTCTCAGGCAAGAACGACCGCCTAGCGGCGAGGAGCGAGGAGAGAAGTCAGTGGCCATTTTCGAAAACAAAAAGAAGTGTAAAGGCAGCACCTTCGTCGCTCAGAAAACGTCTGCGTATATAATTTTCTTCAGGCCGCACAGAGTCATCAATTAATGTGCTTTTACGGACCCCTTTTAAATGAGCAGCCAGCATGGCCAGTAGGCTGTTCTGAAACGGTACAACGTGCTTTGTTCTCCGCCACCCGGAACCAAACATTTAGCGGTGGTGAGGAAAAACTTTTGATTTTATGCGCCAATTTTGTGGATCAAGCAAAGTCTGTTAGCTCTAAATGTAGTGATAAAGACATGAATTTTTGTATGTGTAGGGTTGATCCTTAAGGAGAACCCAATGCCAACCAACCCACCCATCTCCTCCTCCTTCCCGATAGTAGACTTTTCATGACGTTAGCATAATCACCTGAGACCTCTTGTAAAGTTCACTAAAATAATAGCAAGCACCTTCGTAGCCTGTTCACAGACCCTCTACTTTTTCATTAGAGATCGTCGATCTATTTTCTCTTTGGAGATCGTCGATTTTGCGTATGAAAATAAAAGCCACGGGGGATTTATTGACCAGTAGAGCAGGGGGCTCTCTCTCGCGCACTCGCTTCGCTCGCGTGCTCGTCTATTTTCGAAACGAAAGAGGAGTGTAAAAGCTGCCCATTCGTCGCTCAGAAATCGTCTGCGTATATTATTTTCAGTTCAGGCCATACGCAGTCATCAATCAATGTGCCTTTATGGACCCCTCTATGAGCAGCCAGTAGGTTGATCTAGAACGGTACCACGTGATTTGTTGCACCGCTACCCGGAACCAAACATTTAGAGGTGGTGAGGAAAAACTCTTATTTTCATGCGCCAATTTTGTGGATCAAACAAAGATCACCTAACGTAAATGCAGAAAACCTTACTTTTATCATTAGCATGGTAGGGTCGATGTTTGGTTATTGCCCTACATACTCACGTGACTAACAAGTCAGGAGCATACCAAGTGACTCACGACATCTTTTCTATGATCGCAATATGTTCAGCATTACTGTGGCCACAGGCGCCACAAACCAAGTTTGAATATGTGCGAGATGCTATACGAACATAAAACAAAGACTTGCACCGTAAAACACTTATACCAGGAATTTCTTTTTCGGCGCGTTACGCGTCACGCACTTCCAGAATGTCATCTTCCCTCGTGTTGACAGATTGAAAACATATACAAACTTAACTTTGATTCTGCCGTGATGCAGAATTTAGTTAGCGGTACTGTGACCCCGTCTAGCATTTAAATTCAGGTAAGTAAATAACTTCTGATATTAAGGTTTCAATACGATTAAAACTATAGCAAGCGAGTATTTCGACAATATTCCCCTCTACTAACTGTGATTTGAACTGCGTTTATCGCAAAAATCAGTTGAAAGGAATCATGTTAAACCGAACAGAAACGCCGAAATATAATCTGAAACCGTTACAACTCTGACTAGGGCTTAAATGTCGAAGTAACTTAGGTTTGCGAAGGATTAATATTCCAAGCGTTGAAACTTGCTTGTTGCATGCGCTTACATGGTGTCAAAATACCCTTCAGGTTTTGGTCTCTCGACGGTGTGCATTTGGAATGCCGCCAGAAATATTTTAACACAAACAACAGCAAAGGATATGCTTCAATACAGTTCTTGTTTCATATTAAAATTCCATGTACCAACTGGGTTTTTACGATGGTGAAGTTAGGTCAAATTTGCCATTTTTGAAAAGTGTTGAAACCGTGATTCTTCTTGCGGCCGGTACAGTCACATTTAAACGGTTTATTTAAAGTTAACTGCTGAATTATGGAGTAAAAATGTGTGTCTGTTTTGTGACTTGATTTCACCTAGAGATTCCGTTTTTATGTACGAGCGCGAAGAAAATGCTCAATTTTCGCTAATTTCATACTCGAAAGAGCGCCGATTTAGAGTTTTTCGAACTTGCCAGATTCCTGAAAAAACAAAAAGCTGTTACAAGTTTTAACGTGATTTTTGAAACTATACTATACTACTACTATACTATACTAGTGTACTATAGAGATTATTTGAGCAAAATATGAAGAAATTCAAAAATTCAAGACTGTCAACCGATTCTCGAAAATTACAGACATTGGCTCTTAAATAAGAAAAGAATTCAACTCCCACAGGACTGGTTTGGGACGCAAACATGGCCGCCGTTTCATTGTTTTGGGACACAAATATGGCCGCCATGACGTCATGTGAAAACACACAATCAGGAAACCAGTAGCTGAAATGACGAGTCCACAGTGTGAAATCCAGAATCCCAAAAAATAAGCCTCTCCATGTATAAGCCCCACCAAACTCGTAACGCAAAAAAACCTCCGTTAAATCGCCCCTCCAAATATAAGTCCCCCGGGGCTAGTACTTGGGAATTACCCTCAAATACAACGTAAAACAAAGCAAGAACGGTAAATTTCCTTCAAACTATAAGGCTAGCCAAATCGATTTTGAAACGCAAATTTCCCTACATAGATTAGCCCCCCTGAGTAAAAGCCCCTCCAAAAATAAGCCCCTCAAAAAGTGCCTTTGAAAATATAAAAGTCCCGGGGCTTATTTTCGGAATTTTACGGTACCCTACATCAGGCGATTTCCTCTCTACGTTACTTGGTACTTTCTTTTAAATACCATCAAAACATAAATGACCAAAATTCTCTTTCTATTTTTATTATTTATATTGATTAGCCTGAATTTCAGCCGTCTCAACTAGTCGCAAACTCCCAAGAAGCTCTCGGGAGTTTGCGACTCGAGGAGGCGGCTGCAATTCAGGATAAGTATAAATCTGCTAGCTTCAACAAAATTCATTTACAGTCCAAAAGTTTCAAAGTCAATGATAATTAAAAATACATCAGTCTGTAAAATTATTATTTACTATGTTTGGATAGCTGTTTGATGGAAATAATGACAGAAATACCATCGTTTACCAAACATTGAGCCAGCCAATCAGAGCACGTTACATCAGGATACTTCCGGAGGCTTGGTACGGACACATATCAATGAGAATGGAACTCTATGGCTGTGCAGGTATTTTTTTATTCCCCTATTTCAGGACATTTCAACTCGCGACCTTCACACCACAATGGAATCCCAAGTCATATACCATAATAAACCGAAATTGCAGCGGACCTCGCGAAGTTTTTTGCGGGCCCCATAGCTAAGAAAATTTCTCCGTCCGAGAAATTTTGGTAGTCACGTGACCTTACGTCCGTCCTTCCACCCGTCCGTCTGAACTACAGGGTAACCAATGTGAAATATCACACTTTCTACTATTGTGGGAGCCCTCAACCTGATTTTCGACAACCACGTTGTGGTCAATTGACGACTGTCAAAACAGGCTATCCGCTGACCATTATCACATGACCATATCGCGGGCTCAGGTGTTGACCCATCGGGGTAAGTGTTTGTTTTGATGTTATCGGTTGTCAAGTTAGTATTTTTCAACTGATCACACGCTCAAGTCCGAGTGAATTTCTTTGAATACTTGCAAGTTTATTGTTTGAAGCAAAGTTTAAATTTATCAACGAGACCTTTGCCTTTAACCTTGGCTAAATCTATTTATTAGTTCAGTAGAGCATCCCGTCTTTCTTAGACTTTTCGGCTTTGACCTTAGTCTGCTACACAGCCGTTTTTAGTGTCACAGAGCGAGGCTGATTTTGGAAATTCGACAGGGGCGTCTCTATCTCTTGTCAGATCAGGAGGCTTCCCAACTGTGCACTGAACTTTTAATTATTTCTCTGTTTTACAAGACTTTTCTGAATTTATCCAAAAGGTTTGAGTGTTGGCTTTTACTGTTTCATCATAGACTATCCATTACAAAATTAATGCAATATCTAACATAGGTTCCTTTTACTGATCTGTTTCACGCTTAGCCTGTGAAGCGCCTCTTGGCATGGAAAACGAAGCAATTGCAGATTCCCAAATAAGCGCATCTTCTCAGCTGGATGACCGACATTCTGCAACGAAATCCAGATTGCATTTCAAAACAGACGAAAACAAAGATGGAGGCTGGTCATCTCTCACAAGTGATCCCAACCAGTGGCTGCAGGTGGATTTTCGTAGCTATGCTACAGTGACACATGTCGCGACTCAGGGAAGACACGCCCACAATGAATGGTTACTTAACTACAAATTAAAATATAGTGATGATGGCGTGACATTCCAGACTTACAGTGTGCCAGGAACCAAACTCCCAAAGGTACGGCTCTCTCTTGAGTAAAGGCTCTTTTTCACGGTTTTTTCAAAAGAAATTGCGCTCTTATACTCCTTCTATTTAACTATGAAGCTTGCAGTAGATTAAATTAAACGATGTTTTCTGTTCATTTGGATTGGCATGCCTACGTTTTACTCGATTGAAATAGCGCCTCTCAAGAACTCCTGTTATCATGCATTTTCCTCCATGTCCCTGGAAACATTCCGTGCCCTCCGAGTTCTGTCGACGTAAGTACACGGTAAATGTTTGTTATCACCGTTTAGGTTTTTGATGGAAACAAGGACGGTGACAGCGTTGTGACCAAAGAATTGAATCCACCAATCACAGCCCGCTTTATACGGATTTTACCAACCAAGTGGAATAACCGGATTTCCATGAGAATGGAGCTCTATGGTTGTGCAGGTATTCTGAAGTAATTTGTGAGACTTCTTGCAACTTAACAGAACCTATTGACTGAGTGTTTTTAATTCTTCACCTGCTTAGAAAACAGGGCATATCAACTACAAGGTTCATTGAAGTAAATTTTCCCCTTGTAGTTTTAAAACGTACTGTAAGCAGCCGCTTGCTATTTAAGCCACAAGGAACGCACTCTTTTATATCTCTAGGCCACTTCTCTAATGAACGGAATAATAAAAAAAAAATAAGTCTACACGTTACAATCCAAACCTATTTTACATTTCATCTATTGATATTCCTTGTTATATTTATGATCAAGCTTGCTTCGCCCCACTTGGAATGGAAAATAATGCCATTTCAGACGGCCAGATAAGCGCCTCTTCGCAAGAAGATGACGATCATGCCGCAAACCAAGCCAGATTGCATGCTAAGATAAGTAGCGGCAAAAGCGGTGGCTGGGCTGCTCTTCAAAATAATGTTAACCAATGGCTTCAGGTGGATCTTGGAACTTACACCAGAGTAACACGGGTGGCCACTCAGGGAAGAAATTCCTTTAGTGGATGGGTGACCAAGTATATGTTACAGTACAGTGACGATGGATTCATCTTTCGGTCTTACGAAGAAGCAGCTAACACCTCCGCAATGGTAAGTCTTTGCTCGCGTGCGTAGATGTTAAATCTCGAACACAAAACTTGAAATGATCAGTCGTATTCGTTCTAGTGACAACTCCAGCGTTTTTATCAAATAAACCCTAAGGCTAAAAGTACCTCATGGTATGCCTTTTTTTCCTGTGGGGACTCAACAAACTTTTATTCAAGGAGGCACCGCCCCGAGGTCCAGCACCTTACCCTTTTATTTTACTATTTTTGATGGAAAAGGTACCCCATTCGTACAGCTTCTATTGACAAATGATACCACTTTCACATACCTAATTCGGAACGAAGACTGCAAAAAAAGTCGGTTTTTCTCCTTTAAAATCGATTTTTTAAGCCACCCACGTAAGATTTTCGCACGAAGCATACAAGCCTTACAAGCCCAGAGCGCTCCAGGACTTTTCTTTGACCGTTCTCGTGTTCTTGACCAACGCAAAAATACGGGTTGTTTTGCTGAACCAGCGCTGAACACAGCGATATCAAGGAAGACTGGTTGGTTCCCCACTTGTAGCAGTTCGGGAGCGTTCATCGTGAATGCCATCAATGATATTTACAAGTAACTGTCAATAACAGTCTTATTAGGGACTACGTTCACCCGGACGATCATACTTATGAAATTACTCCTGGTTTTAAACCTTTCACAGTTTCTTATTACTTTGATTATACTTTTTTAGATTTTTGTTGGAAACAAAGACAGCGACACGGTTGTGTACAACATTTTAAAACCACCAATCACAACACGCTTCATTCGAATTTTGCCGGTGGAGTGGCACAGTCAGATATCATTGAGGATTGAAATTTATGGCTGTCCAGGTATTCCGAAATGTGTCGAAAAACAATAAGTCATAACTAATTATTTATACAAAGAGCCTGTCTATATTCTGTCCCTGTTAGCCCTATTATCGACTTGTCATAGTATGAAGACACCAATCAACTAAAGGCAAATTTTGGTGCAATATCTGTAGAATCTGGTTACTTTGACAAATAGTTCTCTTCTCCTTCATTCTGGCGCTTTATTGATCCTCACCTAGTTTGTACTAGATGGTGCTCTAATTTGACGGCGCTTCTATTTGTTTCTATAAAAGTGTTTGAAAATGAATTCAGGAAATTCGCTTCACTTAAGCCAAAGATTGCCAGGATGTTTAGACAAATGATTAGACATATTCATGCATTTATTCAGGTTGTGTAACATCACTTGGAATGGAAAATCGAGCCATTTCTGATGCCCACGTAACAGCCTCGTCACAAATGGATGACACCAATTCCGCACGAGAAGCCCGATTGCATTCTAAGTCAAGTGGGAACCAAAGAGGTGGCTGGGTAGCTCTCAAGGATGATCTCAACCAATGGCTTCAAGTGGATCTTGGCACTTTCACCAGAATAACACGTGTGGCAACTCAAGGAAGAGATGGGTATGATCAGTGGGTGACCAAGTACAGGTTACAGTACAGTGATGACGGAGACATCTTTCACTCTTTCAAAGTGTTGGGGGTTAATTCAGCGAAGGTATGGCTGTCAAAGTTTTGGCAGAACTCTTCTAGTCCTCGGAGAAATTTGTGAAAATCCTATGAAAGCGCAACCAGCTCACTAATCAATATTGTAACTTCCAGATTTGTTGATTTATAGCTTTCTGGAATTTTTCCTATATTTAGGTTTTTACAGGGAATCAGGATAACGGCACAGTTGTTTACAACTCACTGAGTTCACCAGTCACGACTCGCTTCATTCGGCTGATTCCAGTGGGGTGGCATAGTCGCATATCGATGAGAATAGAGATCTATGGCTGCCCAGGTACTGAGGAAAGATTTCATATAAATAATGTATTTCCCCTTTGGCTTTGCTTTTGCCACTACCACTTTCATCATGCCATTACCTGAAACATTGCGATCATCATCCCAATCTCGCCTCATGTAAAGTAATCCGAATTTCGGAATCCTTGAAATGTCGCTTGTGGAATCCGATATCTTAAGGGGACTGAACACAATTTTGCGGCGGTAACTCGCGTGACTGCGCCTGTTTTAAATTAGACAAACAAACATGGCGGCGAAAAAAGCAATGGTACACAGAGGATATTTGGCAGAATTTTCACTTTGATTGTATTTTAGAGAATGAGAACTTTAAAATGGAAGTTGATTAGACGAATTTTGTGACACATTTAATAATTACAGTACAATTGTATTATTGATTATCTAAAAACCCGTCCGTTAAAATTTGGTCAAATACGTTTTAAAGGGGTAGTGATTACTTATAGTAGGCTGTGTGCAAGTTTAAACGAAAATCTAATGAGCGAATTTTATGTAAACTGAGCAAAAGTAAAATTTTAAGGTTGTATTCAATCGTCACATTTTACCTGTCAATCAAAATCTTTCATCAGTATATTTTTCACTTGCCAAGTTTCAGCTTGCGAGCTGCAACCTTTCTCTTGCCATGATTTGGCAAATGACATTTACTCACAAACTGCCAAAACTGTGTTCAGCCACCTTAAGCTTTAGAATCCTGAATCCTGCTAACGATTAGAATCTGGAATCTAAGTTCCACTGTCTAGGAATGCGGAATCCATTTCCTGGAATCCGGAATCCAAGACCGTTGAATTGAGAATCCAAGACTGTCTTGGATTAATGGACATTGGGCAACCAATCGCCTTGACACCACTGTTATCCCCAACATCTGGATCTCAACCATCTCCCTATTGTCTTCCCTCGATTACTTCCCTTCAAATTGATTACAACCCTGGTTAGAAAGCTTGTTTATCCTGATCTTACCAACTTAGGTTGTACGGCAGCACTTGGAATAGCTCTCAGATCAATCACTGATGCCCAGATAAGCGCGTCTTCAAAACTGGACAACACCCATTCTGCTGCACAAGCCAGGCTGCATTCCAAAGTAGTAGGAAGCAAATATGGAGCCTGGTCAGCACATGAAAATGACCATCATCAGTGGCTTCAAATTGATTTTGGAAGCTCCACCAAAATTACACGGCTGGCCACTCAGGGAAGAAATGGCTTTAATGAGTGGGTGACCAAGTACAACTTAAGTTACAGTGATGATGGTGTACATTTTCATTCCTACAAGATGGTAAGAGTATCGAGGGCAAAGGTATCTCTTAGACCCCATATCTAAGGAGAAAACATGTCCCGAGTGGGTATAGTGGCTGGGGCAGCGGCTACCCGAACTACCCTGGGTGAGCCAAGGTTTCCTACATTTTTTACCAAACTTGGCGAGCCGTCTACATGAGAAAGAAAAAGTTGGCTAGGCTAGAAATATGAGCTGCCTAGCTGGGTCAACCTGGTAGAGTGACCGTCCTAGCCGAGTTACCTTTTCTCCATTTAAACTCTTATCCATCCGGGCCAACTCGGATAAGAACAGACAATCAGAGCACAAGCGAGCGCTTTAGCGCTTGCTTAAGTGGACTCCTTGAGATGGTGACCCTCTTTCCCTGGACAACGTTTTCTAAAAATAGACGAGGCCTTACTAAGATTTGGGTGGCTATGAACTTAACACACACTTTCCTTAATCTTCTCACTTTCTAAAATGCCGTTTCAGGTAAAATAAGGCATTTCGACTCCATACAACCGTTTTGGAAGCTGCTGTCTTCAACATGGCATCTATCTTCTGAAGCATGCGAAGACTTTCAATTATCGATTGGCAATTGTCAGGTTTTAAAAAAGCCAGCTGTAACTTAAACGTAATATAATTTCTATTAGTCAGGCTAGCTAAAGGCTCCCTACTTGTGCGATCTGAAATAGTTCTTAAAACCATTGTTTGCTTTGTAGGTCTTTGAAGGAAATCAAGACAGTGACACTGTTGTATACCACACTCTTATTCACCCAATCACAGCTCAGTTCATTCGGCTGTTGCCTCTTGCTTGGCACAATCACATATCTTTAAGAACGGAGGTGTACGGTTGTCCAGGTGCTCTTACGAAATATTAATTGAAAATTCATTATTTTAACTTCACAGATAGTAATTCGGGTTAGTTAATGTGTTTCATGTTTGCAAAATTACGACACTCAATTACAACGAAAAAACGCACACTTTGGAATCATCTTTTTCATCACGTAAGATGGGATATATTTTATTTCAGTATCTGTGTGGGCCCTGGGCCCGGTTGCATAAAACCTACACCTAAGTACCCACTTAAGTAGGTCACTTACGAATCCGTTATGGGTACACTTACGAGTGTTGCATGAAACGCACTTAGCACTCTCGTAAGTTACTCTTTTACGTGGTAACTTACGGGTTCACTTAAAGGCACACGTAACTTTGATATAGTACTTTATTAATGACTCACTCTTTTTTTTTAAGCTAACAATCGGTGAGTGTAAAGAAAGTTTTAATTCGTTTCGAACACTTTTAAGCCTTTAAAAAAATGAAATTTGCATGCAATCGTTATTTTTCTTCTATGTCTACTGAAAATGATAATTCTTCTTCTTTTTTCACAACGTCGGCTTTAAAGTGTACATCAGAGGTTAACAAAGCACATTAGAACGAATTACGCGAAGAAAAATTACTTTTTTTCACTTCTCAGTAAAAGATCTCGTTAACTTTAGTAAAAACAGTAACGATACGGGACCTACATAGGTCCCGTAAATTTACGTGCTATTTTTCCCCTAAAAAATGTTTTATGCAACACCAGCAATTTCTGTTGCATAACCGACACGTAAGTGAACACTTACGAAAATCGTTAGTACAACCACTTAAGTGAATTCCCTAAGTGGACCACTTAAGTGATTTAATGCAACTCACTTAAGTTGCGAGTGCACGTACGTATACCCGTAGTTGTTACGGGCGTTTTATGCAACCGGGCCCTGGGCCGTATAAAAAAGATTACTAGTAAATGTTAAATGTTAATCTGCCTGAGTGGCTCTAACAACTGTTGAAGCCTTACCTGCAGATCTAATGTTCAGAAGCTTTTTAATTTTATGTATTGTTAATATAGGTTGCGTAGCTCCCCTCGGCATGGACAGTGGAGCAATAACTGACGCCCAGATAAGTGCTTCTTCTCAGTGGGATAACAATCATGGTGCATCACGGGCCAGGTTGCACTTGCAATTTAATCATAAGACCAGACAAAGAGGAGCCTGGTCATCTCGTTCAAATGATCTTAACCAATGGCTTCAGATAAACCTTGGTGGTTACACTAAATTAACTCGTGTTGCAACACAAGGGAGAAGTGACCACGATCAATGGGTAACTAAGTACAGATTGCAATACAGTGATGATGCGGTGATCTTCCAGTTCTACAAAGAGCCACACCAGACTTCAGCAAAGGTATGTAAATAGGGAGTTTAAGCAACAACGTCTTTGAGCGCCGCATGTCAATCAGAAGTGAGGCCTTTTCCCTTTCAGTATGCCTTGACGCCAGCAGGTTTTCATTGTTAACTATCTTTACGCTTATACAGACGATTTGCCCAAGACTTTGGCAAAAACCACCTTCTAAGAATGCAAAAAGTCCACTTCCGCTTGACGTGCGTCGCTCAAAAACGTCAGATGTCGCTCTTACAGGTGTTACCTCCTTTGAAAACAGTTTGAAGAAGTACTGGCTAATCCTGGCGAAAATGCGGATTTACGTTCTCCTTAAGCAGAACATAAGTGCGTCGTCGGTTCCGTGGTCACCTTTCACTTGAAGAGACCTAAGTACCCGCCATTTTTACTTATAAAGGTGCCTCATTTTCTGAGAAGATGTGATTATTCAACCTTTTGGAAATACTGCTATTGCGCGCGTGAATACGGTCGAACCTTTACTTAACCGCCTCCTACTACGCAGTCACTCTCTGAGGACAAAATTGTTAGTAAATCCCTATAAGTTAAAACTCTATTAAGCGATCACTTGGGTCTCCTCACAGAGGGTGGCACCTTACAACTGGCTTGACCGTATCTTATCCCACTTATAGCAGAGCTGTCGCTTGCTTTGGCGCACCATAGGTACGAAACTTTAGTCATCTATGTATCCAAGAAATTTCGGTTCTGACAAAATTATCTGTACGTACGTCCGTACGTCAGTCCGTAGGTACGTTTGTCCGGCCCATCATGTTAGCCATGTGGAATGTCTTACTTGCTAGCTTAAAAATCCAAGGTATATACAAATTGTGTTCAACTTCACACTGGGCATCCATGTTGTGATCAATCGACAGCTATTAAAATAAGGTATGAGCTGACTAGTGTCACATGACTGTATCGCAGGTTTCAAATGTGCAACTCGTTAAGGTGAAGTTTTCTTTTTAAGTTCTCCACCTACCAGTTATGGTATTCAAGTGATCTCAGGCTCAGAAAACTTTTACTTCAGAAAGACTTTCTCTTAAAAGTTCCCACGAGAGCATCGCTTTTAGCCTTGGCTAAATCTACATATTTCTTTATAGCGATAAATTTATGTGCCAAAGTAAGAAGATAGTATGACCTTTCTAACGACTAACAGAATTCTTGTTGACAACTTTTCTTACATTTAGCATATTCTGCTTGTACTTAAAAGTATTATCGAAGACACAACTACGTGCCTGAAATTGTTTTCACCGAATCACTGCAGGTTTTCCCAGCAAATAAAGATCGTAACACCATTGCTTACAACATCTTGAATCCACCCATTACAACGCGCTTCATTCGAATCAAACCGATGGAGTGGCGTGGACACATATCCATGAGGATGGAGATCTACGGTTGTACAGGTATTCAAACTTACATTGTTCGCTTACTTGCACAGTAATACTGTCTACAGTAGTTGCTACTTACAATGGATCAGGTTCTGATTGCAACACACTCCATTCGAACCTAACCGCTTAAGTTACACTACCGCATTTCCATCACGATGAAGATCTACGAGTTTTTAGTGATTCAAGCTTCAGGCATTGTCCACACGAATAGAGGATCGCTGAAACCGCATACCTAGGTAATTCGATCGAAATTCGATAACATCCGGTTTCCATCGGCTACACGAATTTGCAAATCCGTCGAATCCAAGACAAAAATACATTGTGGAGGGGTTTCAGATGTCGTTTCCGGTTAGCAGATTTGCTAATTTCGTGTGGAAGGAAGGCCGATTCGTGTAAAAAAGGGGGGGTTTAAAAAATATCTGGGTTCTTGTGAATGGGGCCGTCCATACATGAAAGCTATACTGATGCGTTGTCACTGAACGAAACAGCTGTCTGTGGCTGTCCCCAGGAGACATGCTGTGCACGTGTTGTTGGAGTGTGTCACTTTCCTTGGGCATTGATCTTGCGTCACTACCGGTCCACTATCTGCTTACCAGAGCCGTAGCTAGCGGGGAGGAAGGGGGCAGCTGCCCCCCGGAACTGTTGAGCCGAACTTATCAAGTCTGTAAATGGATTTGTTATCTTTAGACTCAGTTATTTTGATTGTAGTGACTTGCATTTGTTTTCAATTTTCATGGGGGAGGATACAGACCCCCCCCCTACAAGGCTCGTGCCTTCGGCAGTCACGATAATGCCCCCCCCCCCTCCCTTGTGACAAAAAACCCAGCTACGGCCCTGCTTACTTTGCTTATAGAAAACCTGCAACGTCCCAGTTCCTTGACGATTAGAAAGTCATAAGCTATAATTCACTCTGCAGTTCGGAAGGGTTGATTGGTCTACGTTACTTAGGATTTTTAGAAAAGAGTATCCGGGGAAAGCTATTCCAACCAAAACAAACAAATCTAGATTGTACGACACCGCCTGATATGGAAAATAGAACGATCCCTTATTCATGGATAGCCGCCTCGTTATCACGCGATAACAGACACATTGCTTGGGGAGCCTCCGCGTATAAAAGTTTGTTGAGTAGCCCGGGAGTTTGAGAGAGCGGCTGGATCTTGCTTACTTGGGTTTTCTACAGAAAGGGACAAAATCATGCCTAATTAGAGAGGGTATTAAGCTTTTTTGTGTTTCTGCCTCTAAAACAAATCTAGGCTGTACGACACCGCTTGGTATGGAAAATGGAGCGATCCATGATTCTGGAATAACCGCTTCATCGTCACTTGACAACAAACACACCGCTACGCAAGCAAGGCTGCATCTGACAGCTGATTCCAGGACGGGGGGAGGGTGGTCGGCTCTTAAAGATGACTTTTATCAGTGGCTTCAGATAGAACTTGGTGGTTACACAACTGTAACACGTGTAGCTACCCAAGGAGGGAATGGAAGAAACGAGTGGGTGACACATTACAGATTGAAATATAGCCGTGCAGGAAATATCTTCAAGTATTATAAGCTGAGGGAAAACAGCTCAGCAATGGTAAGTATACACAAAGCTCAGTCGTGGTCGTTAGATTTGTGACGATTTGTGGGTTTTGTCGTTAACCGTAAGTGCAATCTTTGACAAAGCCACAGAAGGAAACATTATGCACCGATCAATGTAAACCCCGTGAGGGGGGGGGGAGTGCGGGCAAGGGGTGGGGATTTGACAAATTTTAAAATTTTTTGATCAAATTCCCCAGGGTGGGAAACGAAAGGTCAATCAAAAGTGTCAAAAAAGCCCCCACCCCAGGGGAAAAAATCTAAACAAACAATACCATAATACTGTATAAAACATTTCAAAAGAACATTTCAAAAGTACGTCCTTACTACACGTAAGCTCCGTTAAATTACTCGCTGTAATTAAATATTTTCTCTCTTCACTGGCATCTCTTATTTTGAAGAACAAAATCACTCTAGGAAGATTGACCGTGCTATTATAATATTAATGAAACGTGAAATGCTTCATAACATCTGCTCAACATGTCGGAACAGGTCGGATCAGTGACCCGTAAAAAATCCTCTGACTTTCATGATGGAATTAGATTTCAATGGAGTTTTACAATCAGATGAGAACTTGAAGATAAAACTTTCTCAAAATAGTCATTATGTTTAGATGACAGTTTAAAGTATCGGATTATGGTGATTAAAACAAATGAAAACTTCACACCTTTCTCCAACAGCGTGAATTTCAGAAGGGAGGGATTATCCATCAGAGCTAGAGGGAGGTTGATTGCTTTGCTGTTAATTCTAAGTTAGGCTGTTCGCAGTACCCTATTTTTTCGTAAGATCGGCCATCTTCGTTTCATATTTACTGAGGGGGAGGCAGGGTCGGGGCTTGTAGCGGTGGGGGAGGGAGGCCTCCTCCCAAACCGTCCTCCACCTCCTAAGTAGATTTGACATTCATCTCCAGGCTAAACTCGAAACATTTGAAACCAAGATAGCCGCCCGTAACGCAGGGCGCTCGATCTCGATGATCTTATGAAAAAATAGCGGTGGTGTCCAATTCCAACTCGTCGCCGAAAACAGTTGGAGTGACTGTGGTTCATTCAGTTTGTCACGATTATCCGGGATTTACTTGAAATGAGAAAGTGAAAACTAGTAGGCTTGTTTCCCCTTTTAGGTGTTTCAAGGCAATAAAGACAGTAACAGCGTTTCTACAAACAGATTAAGCCAGCCGATCAGAGCACGCTACCTTCGCTTTATACCAATAGAGTGGCATAATCACATATCAATGAGAGTAGAGATCTACGGCTGCCCAGGTGTGATACACTTCCAAATAATTTTCTCAGAGTGGTATGTAAGCTACAATGCTGTGTGAGCGGTAGTGATTAATTTGAATTGGCATGTTGAAAATAACCGTGGTTAGCAGCCTATGGAGCGCTTATTTGCTGGTTTACCCGCGGAAAAGAAATAATCCTTTGTAATCTACCTAGCATTAAACTTAGCCTTACGTTTGCCCTAGGAGTAACCACGACGGCGACGGCTGCTAAAACGTCACTAATATAAAGTGATTTCGCACTAACTGTTTCAAACCGCACCGCGCTAACATTCCATCACGTTCAAGTTATCAAATGTTGGCAAATTTTCTGGGGTTAAATCAGTTCTAAAACAGCTGTATGCAAGTTCAGAGAAAGAAAAAAATTCGTCGTCTTGCCTAAGCGTCCTCCACAAAAACAAGAAATTAGGCAGTTCCACGTCGTAGTTGTGCCGACGGCAAAGAAATGTAGAAAAAAGCGTGATGCATGTGCAAAGTTGCTGTTTTGCTTATATTAAACCTATTGCTTTTTCGCTGTTCTGGCTGCCCTGTTCTGTCGCTTAAGCTCCCTATTATTATGGTTAAGTTGTCTTGTGTAACTGCAGCTAATAGTTCCTCTATGATTGTTTATCTCCTAATGGATAAATGGATAAAGAACGGATTGGATCACAAATTGAACTTTTTAATACATTTTTCATTAAATTTTCCACTTCCAGACAGAACAAAGAAACAACATATGGATTTTTGGTATGACCGTTCAAAATACGACTTGATGTGTTTTAGTTTCACGTGGTCACATTCACTAAAAGTGTTTTACGTAACGCACTTATGGAGAGTTTTCCTTGAGCTGTGACTTTATATTCTGTTGGGCTATATCAGATTCCATCCCTTCAAACATACCGGCCCAAAAGATGAAGTTTTATTATAAACTGTATTATTGCACCATACAGGTTGTATAGCACCACTTGGTATGGAAAATAAGCAAATATCAGATGCCCAGATCAGTGCATCGTCATTGTCTGATGACAATAGCTCTCCAAGCAAGGCCAGGCTACACCTCAAAGAAGATCAAAACCTACCTGGAGGGGGTGGGTGGAGTGCCCTTAAAAACGATCTCCACCAGTGGCTACAAGTGGATCTTGGAGGTTACACCACATTAACACGTGTAGCGACTCAGGGGAGGACTGGGTCCAATGAGTGGGTGACCAAATACAAGTTACAGTACAGTGATGATGGAATGAACTTCCAGTTTTACAAAGAACATGGAGACAAGTCAGCTAAGGTATCTTCACACACGTATTATGTAAAATACTTTAAAGGCAACCAGATGTTTTTATATCAGTTCTCATTTACAACAAGCTAAGCTACCTCGATCGTCCAATATGTTTTGCTTAGTCCCTGTGTGAAGTCATAACCCGTTTTCTATGGCAACATAGCTGGCAAACAATGACTAAATTGTGAACAGTTTTTTCAGGACTAGGCCAAACATATTTAACCAAGCATTGAAGTGAGAGACTTGTTGGCCGCTTATTTGCTCTTAGGGTTAGGGTTTAAGGTCTCACTGTTTCATTGATTATTACAGGTTTTTACTGGAAACGATGACAGTGATACTGTTGTGTATAATGCACTCAGTCCACCAGTCACTACAATGTTTGTTCGTGTATTGCCTATAGCTTGGAACAGTCGTATATCTATGAGGATAGAGCTGTATGGTTGTCCAGGTAATTTGAGTAAGTTAAGGAGGAGCGATTGTTATAAATTCGCCATTTCCACATATCTCATATCTCCTGTCGTCAGGGTGGTCATGTTTGTATTCCAAAACAATCAAACGGCGGCCATTTTGTTTTCCATGCAGGTCTTTTGCGTGCTGAACTTTTCTGTAAACCCTTTTTTCAATAAATATCCATAGAGACAGGCCAGGTCTGTAAAAACGCCCTTTAAAAGTTTTTTGGCTTCCAAACATTGCTCTACAATTTGTTTTGGGACGACTTTAATACCTAAGAAAAATTTAAAACAAAAGTAATGCGAAATTTAAGAGGGAAAAGAAGGTCGATATCACTGTTGTTCCTGCTGTCGCTATTCTAGCTCTTGACACTATTGTCGCTGTCATCATTGTTGTCAGTGTTGTCTTTATTGTTACTGTTGTTACTGTTGTCAGTGTTGTCGCTATTGTTGCTGTTGTCACTGTTGTCGCTGTTGGCTCATGTTGTTGCTGTAGTCACCATTTTTGCTGTTCTCTCTGTCCTCACTAATGTCGCTACTGTCACTGTTGTAACTTTGATCGTTGCTGACGCTGTTGTCTCTGTAGTCCCTACTGTCACTATTGTCACTATTTTCGTTTTTTCACTGTTGTCCCTGTTCTCACAGTTGTCACTGATGTTGCTGTTGCCACGGTTATCTCTGGTGCCGCTGTTGTGGCTGTTGAACTGTTCCCCCTTTTGTCTCTATTGTTGCCGCTGTCGCTGTTGTCACTGTTATCACTGTTGTTGTTGTTATCGCTGTTGTTGCTGTTGTCACTGTTCTCTCGGTTATCACTGTTGTCACTGTGTTTACTATTATCACTGTTGTTGCTGTTGACGTTGTTGTCACTGTTGTCAATGATGTCTCTGTTATCACTGTTCTCACTGTGATCACTGTTGTCACCGTTGTTGCTGTTGTCACCGTTGTCGCTCTTGTTGCTGTTCTCACTGTTGTCACTGTTGTCGCTGTTGTCACCGTTGTCGCTGTTGTTGCTGTTGTCACTGTTGACGCTGTTGTCACTGTTGTCACTGTTCTCACTGTTGTCACTGTTGTCGCTATTGTCACTATTCTCACCATTGTCATTGTTGTCATTGTTGTCAACGTTGTCACTGTTCTAACTGTTGTCGGTATTGTCACTATTCTCACCATTGTCATTGTTGTCATTGTTGTCACCGTTGTCACCGTTCTCACTGTTGTCACCATTGTCGCTGTTCTTACTGTTGTCACCGTTGTCACTGTTGTCACCGTTGTCACCGTTGTCACTGTTAACACTGTTGTCGCTGTTGTCACTATTGTCACTGTTGTCGCTGTTGTTGCTGTTGGCGCTGTTGTCGCTCTTGTCACTGTTGTCTATGTTGTCACAGTTGTCGCTGTTGTCGCTCATGTCACTGTTGTCACAGTTGTTGCTGTTGTCACTAGTGTCACTGTTGTCACTTGTCATCGTTGTCACCGTTGTCACTGTTATCACCGTTGTCACTGTTGTCACTGTTGTCGCCGTTGCCACTGTTCTCACTGTTCTCGCTGTTCTCACTATTCTGACCATTGTCATTGTTGTCACCGTTGTCGTTGTTGGTATTGTCACTGTTGCTACTCTTGTCACTGTTGTCACCATTGTCGCTGTTCTTACCGTTGTCACCGTTGTCACTGTTGTCACCGTTGTCACCATTGTCACCGTTGTTGCTGTTGTCACGCTTGTCACTGTTGTCACCGTTGTCACCGTTGTCACTGTTGTCACCGTTGTCACTGTTTTCACTGTTGTCGCTCTTCTTACTGTTGTCATCGTTGTCACCAATGTAACTGTTGTCACTTTTGTCACCGTTGTCACTGTTATCACAGTTGTCACTGTTCTCACTGTTGTCGCTGTTGTCACTGTTGTCACTGTTGTCACTGTTGTCACTGTTGCCACTGTTCTCACTGTTATCGCTGTTGTCACTATTCTCACCACTGTCATTGTTGTCATTGTTGTCACTGTTGTCACTGTTCTCACTGTTGTCGGTATTGTCACTGTTGCTACTGTTGTCACTGTTGTCACCATTGTTGCTGTTCTTACTGTTTTCACCCTTGTCACTGTTGCCACCATTGTCACCGTTGTCACTGTTGTCGCTGTTGTCACCCTTGTCACTATTGTCACCTTTGTCACTGTTTTCACTGTTGTCGCTCTTTTTACTGTTGTCATCGTTGTCACCGTTGTCGCTGTTCTCACTGTTGTCACCTTTATCACTGTTGTCACCATTGTCACTGTTGTCAATGTTGTCACCGTTGTCACTGCTGTCAGCATTGTCAGCGTTGTCACTGTTGTCACCGTTGTCACTGTTTTCACTGTTGTCGCTCTTCTTACTGTTGTCATCATTGTCACCAATGTAACTGTTGTCACTTTTGTCACCGTTGTCACTGTTCTCACTGTTGTCGCTGTTGTCACCATTGTCACTGTTGTCAATGTTGTCACCGTCGTCACTGTTGTCAGCATTGTCAGCGTTGTCACTGTTGTCACCGTTGTCACTGTTTTCACTGTTGTCGCTCTTCTTACTGTTGTCATCATTGTCACCAATGTAACTGTTGTCACTTTTGTCACCGTTGTCACTGTTCTCACTGTTGTCGCTGTTGTCACTGTTATCACTGTTGTCACTGTTGCCACTGTTCTCACTGTTATCGCTGTTGTCAATATTCTCACCATCGTCATTGTTGTCATTGTTGTCACCGTTGTCACTGTTCTCACTGTTGTCGGTATTGTCACTGTTGCTACTGTTGTCACTGTTGTCACCATTGTTGCTGTTCTTACTGTTGTCACCATTGTCACTGTTGTCACCATTGTCACCGTTGTCACTGTTGTCGCTGTTGTCACCCTTCTCACTATTGTCACCTTTGTCACTGTTTTCACTGTTGTCGCTCTTTTTACTGTTGTCATCGTTGTCACCGTTGTCGCTGTTCTCACTGTTGTCACCTTTATCACTGTTGTCACCATTGTCACTGTTGTCAATGTTGTCACCATTGTCACTGTTGTCACCGTTGTCACTGTTCTAACCATTGTCATTGTTGTCACAAATGTGACTGTTGTCACCGTTGTCACTGTTGTCACTGTTGTAACCGTTATCGCTGTTGTCGCTGTTGTCACTAATTTCACTGTTGTTTCTGTTCTTACTGTTGTCACCATTTTCACCGTTGTAACTGGTGTCACCGTTGTCACTGTAGTCAGCATTGCCACTGTTGTCACCGTTGTCACTGTTGTCACCAATGTCACTGTTGTCACCAGTTGTCCCTGTTGTCACCGTTGTCACTGTTGTCATCTTGTCTCTGTTGTCACTGTTGTCACTGTTATCACTGCTGTCACCGTTTTCACTGTCGTTACCGTTGTCACTTTTGTCACTGTTATCACTGTTGTCACCGTTGTCACTCTTGTCACCATTGTCGCTGTTGTCACCGTTCTCAATGTTGTCACTTTTGTCGCATTTGTCAAGGTTGTCACCGTTGTCACTGTTGTCGCTGTTGTCACTGTTGTCACCGTTGTAACTGTTCTCACTGTTGTCACCGTTGTCACTGTTGTCGCTGTTGTCACCATTGTCACCGTTGTCAGTGTTGTCACGTTTGTCACTCTTGTCACCGTTATCACTGTTGTCACCGTTGTCACTGTTATCACTGTTCTCGCTGTTGTCGCTGTTGTCACCTGTTGTCATTGTTGTCACCGTTACCACTGTTGTCAGTGTTGTCACTGTTGTCGCTGTTATCGGTTTTGTCATTGTTGTCACCGTTGTCATCGTTATCACTGTTGTTCCCGTTGTCACTGTTGTCACTGTTCTTTATATTGTCACCTGTTGTCATTGTTGTCACTGTTGTCACCGTTGTCGGTGTTGTCACCAATATCGCTGTTGTCGCTTTTGTCACTGTTTTCACCGTTTTCACTGTTGTCACCGTTGTGACTGTTGTCACTGTTGTCACTGTTCTCACCGTTGTCACCATTGTCGCTCTTGTCACCGTTCTCACTGTTGTCACTGTTGTCTCTGTTGTCACTATTGTCACCGTTGTCCCTGTTGTCACCGTTGTCACTGTTGTCACCATTGTCACTGTTTTCACCGTTGTAACCGTTTTTACTGTTTTCACCATTGTCACTGTTGTCACCGTTGAAACTGTTGTCACCGTTTTAACCGTTGTCAAAATTGTCACTGTTGTCACCGTTGATACTGTTGTCACTGTTGTCACCGTGGTCACTTTTTTCGCTCTTGTCGCTGTTGTCACTGTTTCACTGTTGTCACTGTTGTCACCGTTTTTACTGTTGTCACCGTTGTCACTTTTGTCACTGTTGTCACTGTTGTCACCGTTGTCACTGTTGTCACTGTTGTCACTGTTTTCACTGTTGTCACCATTGTCACTTTTGTCACTGTTGTCACTGTTGTCACCTTTGACGCATTTGTCACTCTTGTCACCATTGTCACTGTTGTCACCGTTGTCACTGTTGTCACCGTTGTCACCGTTTTCACTGTTGTCGCTGTTGTCACCTGTTGTCACTGTTTTCACTGTTGATACTGTTGTCGTTGTTGTGACTGTTGTCACCCTTGTCACTGTTGTCACCGTTGTTACCGTTGTCCCTGTTGTCACCGTTGTCACTGCTTTTACTGTTGGCACCAGTTGTCACTGTTGTCATTGTTGTCAGTGTAGTCACTGTTGTCACTGTTGTCACTGTTCTCAGTGTTGTCACCATTGTCACTGTTCTCAGTGTTGTCACCATTGTCACTGTAGTCTTACTAGTCCATATTGTCACTGTTGTCACTAGTTTCACTGTTGTCACCGTTGTCACTGTTGTCACTGTTGTCACCGTTGTCACTGTTGTCACCGTTGTCACTGTTGTCACTGTTCTCAGAGTTGTCGCTCTTGCAACCGTTGTCACTGTTGTCACTTTTGTCACCGTTGTAACTCTTGTCGCTGTTGTCACCATTATCACTGTTGTCTTCGTTTTCACTGTTGTCATGGTTGTCACTGTTG